TGCAAGTACCAATCAATGCTCATAAAGCTGCCAGCGACTGGTCCAGCTGGGCGGCCAGCTTCCCCCTGTCGGCGCCGGGGTCCTGGGCCGGGTCGGCTGCGACAGGCGTGGGTCCGTAGGCCAGCACCACGTCCATGGCGTCAGCGCCCCTTTACAAGGCGCGGAGAATTGCTCGCGTCGTGGGTGGGATGCGTCTGGATGCTGGTAGATCCTTCCGACCCTTCCCAGCACAAGGCTAGTCTCCCAGGGCTTCTAGTGGCGCTCAAAGCAGCCCAGTGGCGCGTAAAGCAGCCCAGTGGCGCTTAAAGCAGCCCGGTGGCGCTCAGAGCAGCCCGATTGCTAGTGATGGCCTGCATGCATAACCGGCAAGCCCCTGCCGGCTCCCCCAGCTATGTCCCCAACCCCTACCCCCGGGCACAGGCACGAGCTAGGCGCTTACTCGCGCATGGCACACACCTGAGCCATGTGAGTTATCTCGCGCTGCAGCAGTGCAGCACGACTGTTTCTCGGATGTCCCCCCAATTGTAGCCGCACCCGGTTCCTGGGAGCGGGCTTGTTCGAGTGAGAATGCTTACAGGACCTGCTCTTCCACGGCTAAAGTACACAGTCAAGCGAAGTGGAAAGCGGCTCATGATGTGTTGCCCCCTGATGTGGCACCCTCCCGATTGGGCAACCCCCGCCCCCGCTCGCTCCTGGCAGCCCGCGCGGCGCTCCCCTCCCATACGTGAACTGACCCCATAGAGCCATGTTTGAGGGTTGAGCGGGGCGGAGCGGGGCTGCTTGCACACGTGATGGCATGCACGCTTCAACGCTCCCGCTGTCATCTCACCTCTCTAGCGTCAGAAATACAACTCTTACAAGCCAACCAACACGAACAGAGAGACCGAACAACAGAAATGAACAGGAAATATGAAGCCGCCACAGGCGGCAGCACCTTCCAGCGGAGACGGCAAAGCGTACAAGGCACACTTCTTCAATGGTTCGTGCAATTGCCACCCTTACCGGTTATACAGCCACAGTGCCGCCCACACCGCGCACCATTCTTCTTGCAGCTGCAGTTCCGGGTGCAGGCGCCGCGGCAGCCGCAGCGCACGGCTGCCTTGCCGCCGCCGGGCTGCGCCGCCATCGCCACATTGAGAGACACCACAGGCACTCCTCGCTGCGCCGTGCCGCTGAAGGTCAGCTCGCTGGCCAGGCTGGGTGGCGCCTTAGATAGCCTGCTGGCCTGATGCATACCCTCCACCACTCCAGCTCCGCTCCGCAGCCGGTAC